ATTTTTTCATTTCCAAAAAATATAGGGGGGTGCATATTTTACTGATGTTTTTAAAAAAACCACCGCCCCCCCCCTGAGACGTAAAATAAACGATCGGTCTCTTAACAGAATATTTCTTCGTCAATGAAAATCAATAAATAATCGATAATCAATCGATGAAAGTCACAGCAAAACAAGCCATAGATTATTCATTGATTTCCAATATCAATCAATTAATAAATATCGATTGGTATTGATTGATATCGATACTCATCGATTATCGACAGGGCTCAAAATAACGTTCCCGATCATGGTGATCGGCCATCACAACTTTTTGCCGATCAAATAAAAATCTGGCCGATCAGGAGCACTTGTTCTCATTTCCTTGAAAAAATTCTAAATTTGCCAGTAAATACACATCTGAACAGGAAGTTTAACTCTATTTCAAATTCAAGTTTAAATATGTGACATTTGTGGACTTATATACACAATACTAATACTGTAATAGTGTAACTACATTTAACATATATTAAATAATGAACTTTAGTTTATTATAACACTTTTCAAGATTTAATTATAATATCGCATTTTTCACACAAAAGCAAGAAACATGCACAGCAGCTTATCAATTAAGAACTAAAACTTATTATTTAATATTAAAAGAGAAAATCCTACTAAACATAAAAAACCTACTCAAAACATCCTATCAATTTGAAATTATGATAACAAAGATGTTCGTCGTCAGTGGTTCGGGGTGCAGACTGTTGAAGAGACGACAACACTTCATGCAAATTTGTTTTATAGTAAATTAATTACATTAGAGCAAGAATAGGCTTGCGGCCTTTCCTGTCGTATCACTCAACGAGAGCTTTTCACATGTTTTTAAATGTGATATTACTCCCAGCATACTTAATCAATAAAAACAGATCATCGGAAATCCAATCGATCAATCAATGGTAATCGATGTTAATTACTTAATTGATATCAATTGACATTGGTCATCGATGATCAATCAATAGTCACAAAAAGTTATAGCCAATTTATGGATTATTATCGATTTTCATCGATATTTATAGATTTTTAGCGACAAAATGCTTTCGATTTTTATCCAATTTATATCCTAAATAATGGCGCCGCGTGTCGGCGTGTTCGAGCTAAATACTAAATCTGTTCTCATTTTTCGAATGTACACATGTATTTGATCTGTATTATAGCTAGATGAAAACTTAATTTAATCCATTGTTACTGAATTCCGTTCACATTTGAGTTTGTTACGACATTAAAGTACATATTACTTAAATTACAGCGTTACCTGTTTGATTGCATGCATATTAACGGAGGATTTTTTCATCAATGAAAATTAATAATAAATCGATGATCTATCGATGAAAGTCACAGCAAAAAAAGCCATCGATTATTCATCAATTTCCAATATCAATTGATTGATAAATATCGATTGGTATTGATTGATATCGATACTCATCGATTATCGATTTCATCGATAAAGTACGCCGGGTATTACTTTTATTTGTCTTTTACCGCGTACAGGTAAGCATGTCTTTCAGACAATGGTCAAATATATTTCTTGCCGATCAAGATGAATGGCAACGTTGCTTCTTTGCCGATCAAAAACAATTTCCTGCTGATCATTGATCGTTGATCGGCCGTTATTTCGAGCCCTGTATCGATTATAAAGTACGCCGGGAATGGTTATAATTTGCACCACTCCACGTGTTAATATAAAGAGATTTTCCAAGCAAAATAAAACATGTGTACCCTTATATCTGTAAAAACATATAGCTATCACATCATGGTACAC